GGTCGTAACGACCTCTCCCCAGGCGGTGGTCATCTCTTCCAACAGCATCACCTCCACCATCCTCCAGGGGCAGGCGCCCATCGCGTTTCCGTCAGCCACACAGGCGCAGGTAAGGGATATTATCAATGTCTTATCAGCGTTGCCAGATTTTTTTTCGGGCAAAGCGGGATTGAATAAAAAAGGAAACAACAAATTGTCTTCAAAAAAATCGGTCTAAAAAAAAAGGGACGTAATCAGGAAATATCTATTTAATAACAGACCTGGAGAAAATAATTGATGCCTAAAGAAAAAACAAAACAAAAGCGGGAAAAGCGGGACTGAACATGTTCCGCGCGGGACATTTAATTTTGGGTTAAAAATCGGGACGTCCCGCCAAAATCGGGACGTCTGGCAACGCTGATGTCTATGTACAGGTGTTTCGGATCGACTCCGACTATTGCGCTGCTTCCGGGTAGTAAAGCGGTTTTAATGAAAGTGTATTTTTTGTGTAGAGTCAAAAAGTACGTAACAAAATCGTATTGGGGACCCCGAAATTCCGGCTTCGAAAAAATTATGACAAACTATTCCTGTACGCGACAAATCAAGACAAAAATTAATAAAGTTGTATTGAGATAGGTACTTAAAAACAAAACGTTCTATTAGTTCTCATATTTTTTCTATTGTAATTCAGACAAATTCATCTTGTCATGTCAATTCATCTTATGAAATCAAAAAAAAAAGAAACAAAACTTCTAAAACTATCGTTTAGTAATTAAACAATTAGTTGTAAAAAAACTAACGAAATTAATTAACAAATAGCTGGAGCAACAATTTCACGGTCAATCCAATCGGCATTTGGTCGTTGGAGATTGACCGTCTTTTCCATAAATTTCATCAACTTTTTGCAATAATGCGCAATTTTCGAAAGCTGATTTTTCCGCATTCGATCTTTATTTTACAGTTAATAAATAGGTGAAATATGACTTTATAGATACCTTAAATTGTAAGTAATTTAGTAGGCCTCTTGCGCATGTCGGATTTTTTATATTAGTTCGCATATTTAAATATGGCCTTATTTAAAATTATTAATTATAAAATCTTTTGTGAAAAATTCTAATCGAAAATTGACTAAATCGTACATTGAAATTTGGAGATGAGCATCCTGTAGGGGCGTGTCGTAGAACGAGTTGCTATTGGTGCGACGTCATCGGTAAAACGATGTCGGTCCTATTACTTCTCAAAAACATTTATTATTTTTAGTTTACGTACGATACGATAACGATAGTGATGTGCTGTTATATTTATTAACTGGTTTCTGTTTTATTATGTAGGTATACCTAAATATGCACCTATAGTAGGATCATATTGGATGCAAAGTAATAAATCATTGCCTGTAAAGGGAACCAATGAAGTACGCTTTTAAGGGTTTTACAAATTGAATAATTTCTTTATACATTATGAAGGAACGAGGGGATCAGTTCACGTCTGGCACCCTTGTTCCTACAAAAATTCCTTTATTCTCATAAACTATTTATTTTAAATGTAATTTATTATAAATCCAATTTGTTTCCTAAATTCCACATATGTACTACATTTTACCTCTGTACGCGCCACTGTTGTTTACTTGTTTTTTGGAAGCGCTCTCTAATTGACAGCAAAGCTCGCCAGGTTAGTATTTGACGTATAACCGACCAGTTCGTACACTCGATGCACCTGGGCGACTACAGCTACTACCAGAACACAGTGCGTATGCAGCGGTATTTCAGATTTTACATTGAATTTCATTTTAAATTTGAAATGATTTATCTTACGCCTCCTAAAAATGATGACACGATTTTCCTTTGATAAAAG